TTCTCTCCCCATGTTACTATTCAACAGTCATATGAAAGTTATTGGGACAGATGGTGAGACAACACAGGCTGAAATGCCAGCAGTACACAGCTTAACACCCAGCTCTATCTCCTTTATGTCAAATGTAAACAGCACCATCTCCCAGCTCTCTCAGTGCCTAGCTAAAATCAGCCCCTGAAAGATGAGCCGCTGGTTAACACTGAATCAAGACTGAGGCGATGTTCATAGGAAAACAAACAAATCCTTTGAAAAACCTGCCTCCTCTGTAACATTCCCGATTATCAAGGGCACGTACCCTCGGATTACTTCACAGTACTGATGGCCAAACAGACACGCTGTAAAAAAGAATCCATCTTCTCTCTGCACACTACCAAGAGATTGCTTCCCGTGCTATGGGGCTCAAGCTTGGCTAGAAAGATCCATACGCTACTCCTGGGGAAATCTGCACCAAAAAAAATTAAGAATTCCGTGTCCTTCCATGACTTCTAATACAAACACGGACAAGCAAGTCAGCACACCAACCACCCTATAAATGAATACAGCTATTTACCCTGCAGCATGGGAAAAGAAAAAACGATTGTTTGTTATTTCTATTTTTTAAACAAATGGGGGGGTGAGGGTGGGCGCTTAACACACTACAGAGATCTAGATCACTAGAAAGCTGGGTGCAGGCAAACAATATGTATTTTAATATGGGTCAGGGTAAATGTATACAGCTGGGAACAAAGATACTTTCAGGATGGGGAACTCTATCCTGGGAAGGAGTGAGTTTGAAAAAGATTTGGGGGTTGTGGTGGATAATCAGCTGAACATGAGCTTCAAGTGTCACGCTGTGGCCAAAAGAGCTAATGCGATCCTGGGACGCATAAATTGGGGAATCCTGAGAAAGAGTAGAGAGATTATTTTACCTTTGTATTTGGCACTACTGTGACCTGCTGCTGGAATACTATGTTCAGTTCTGATGCCCACCATTCAAGCAGGATGTTGATAAATTGGAAAAGGTTCAGAGAAGAGTCATGAGAATGATTAGAGGATTAGAAGACATGCTTCACAGTGATAGAGCTCCATCTTGTTAGTTTAACAAAGAGAAGGTTAAGGGGTGACTTGGTTACAGTCTAAGTGTACCTACGTGGGGAACACATTGAATAACTGCTTCTTCAATCTGGCAGAGAAAGGTATAACAAGAACCAGTTGCTAGAAGTTGAAGCTAGACAAATTCAGACTGCAAATAAAGGTGTACATTTTTAACTGGGAGAGTAAAACCATTGGAACAATTTACCAAGGGTCATGTTGGATTCTCCATCACTGATGATTTTAAATTTTTTAAATGAAAAAAGATTGGATTTTTTATTTTTTTTTAACAGATCTGCTCTAGAAATTATTTTGGGAAGGTTCTCATGCACCCACTGTTTAGTAAGCAGGGCTGGTTAAGGCCTATACAACACTGCTGCTCCTGAAGCCTTTGTAGAGGGAGTGGAAGGAAAACAGCATTCAATAGACAGAAGCATTTCTCTCCCCCACAAGCTTTCTCCCATAATGCTCTGTCAGGGATGGATCCAGCAATGCACCAGGACAGTGGTTTAAAGGGTTTGCGTATACTTCCAGTTTTGTCAGATCCTGACTTTCTCTATGTTACTTTGAAACCCATAACAGTTGTTACCTCAGAGGAGAGGGAGTCTGTCAAGGATTATGTCTTAGCATAAAAACACCAGTTGTGAAGATCTGACCGACGCTGATTGACTATGGTTATACTAGTCGTGTATTCCGTCAGTAACCCAATCTTTAAACTTGTAAAGGAATGGTAAGTTAACTTTACTTACACCTTAGGCTCACTAAAACCAATGAAAATTGAACAAGAAATACATGTAGGCAAAACCAAAGATTGAACAATTATCTTTTAGTGACTTTCCAGCTTCAATGATGATTAGGCTTGGAAGGATTTGAATTTTGTCAGTAAACATAATTTCACTATATACATGCAAACCAATGAAGAAAAAGGTTTCCTTTGATGATCACTGAAATTTACAGATAGACAAAGTAAGAAAAATGCTGCTAGAAAACTTAAGAGTTTGATTTAAGGATGTTTACTTTGACTATTTTGACATATGATGCTGATAAGTTGTGTTTTAATGGTTTTTGAATCTCAACATCTACTGTCATTAGATAATTGTCACACCCCTCCCAATTTCCAGTAACTGTGAACATTTAAATTGATAAAAGCAGCAAAAGTGCTCAAAATCCATAATTTTGTACCACTGTGAAAAATTTACATTGATGAAAATAAAAGCATTAAAAATAAACTGATATCTGTCAAAAGTTATAAAAAATAAAAACCTAATTCTTTCAAACCTACTTATGATCAATGATTCTTTGTAAATTGGCAGCAGCTTAGATCAGTCCAGTTATTTATTTGGCTGTTACTTAGCAATGTTAATACTATGCTAAATCCACTTGGGTGTATTAGTCATCATAATGGTAAAACTGACTTCCTGCAGCTATTTATTTATTTTCCTATCCCAACTAAAACCACACATTCACCAGTCTCTACAGATGATATATACATTTCTTAATAGCCAGGATGGGTAGGGATACAACACCATGCTCTGAGTGTCCCTAGCTTCTGATTGCCAGAAGCTGCCAGAAGCTGGGAGTGGACAGGGAATGATCACTTGATGATTGCCTGTTCTGTTCATTCCCTCTGAAGCACCGGGCATAGGCCATGGTCAGAAGACAGGATACTGGGCTAGGTGGACCATTGGTCTGACCCAATATGGCCATTCTTATGTTCTTAATAGTCACCAATAACCAATTTTATCACAAACATGTCAATGAAAGTCATTGGTAGGCTAATATTTCTAGCCTCGTAAAGAGTTTTATGAATTAAAGCAACCAAATAAGATATACTCCAGTTTCACGAGGCAAAGCATTAGAAAGCCCAGAGATTGCTGTGTCCATATGACAATCAATCAATATACATGGATTTAAGAAAAGCTTCAATTTCCCCCCACTAGATGGCGTGTCTCAATTACTAATCTGCACTGGAATTCAACCTTTTAAAAAGCAAGATACTTCCTCCCTTTGCTACAGTTTTCCATCATGTTTGCTTTCCCCTTTAAAGCCAGACAGTTTAAGAAAAAAAAATGGGGGATGGGGGAGGGAGATAATTTTAGCTAAAAATACACCATCTGCCTGTGAAAAAAATCTAGCTTGATTCTGTCACATCTACAATGAAGCAGGTTAATAACCAGCATTGGAGCAGATGGTTTCTTTATATAAATATGCCCATCTCCCCATAGTGACTCTTCTTCAGCTGCTTCCTGAAACTGCTGGCACTGCTTTACCTTGTTTCCTAGGTGACGACTGTCTCTTACACTCAGCCCAGACATTATGCAGCTGGAATGGATTTTAGAAGTTGCTATCTCCTGCCCATGACTGCTTCCAATCTCTACAAGGGATGCTGTGGTGGACAGACATCTCTGTGCCAAAAAACAGCAACAGATGGATGTTAATAAATTAGCTTACAACTGCCCTTTTGCTCCAGATGATCAAGTTTGCAGTGGAGTTCTGAACCCAGCCAAATCCTCTGACAAGACCAAACAACAAATATAGTTGCAAACTCAAACTGCAGGATTGTAGGCCTAGGGGATGAAACTGGATCTTCTGGCAATGTTCAGTGAAGTTCTGCCAACATGGATTGGGACAAACATTTAAGCGTGGCTACTTTGAAAAGGGACTCTGTAAAAATGGCATTGAGGACTCCATTCTCCGTATCAAGTGTTCTCAATTTACAAGTAGAAAGATATTTTTCTCACTGCCAACCCCAGAAACTCAGGTTGGACAGAGATTGAGCTGCATTCTTTGCTTCTTGTGCACTATCAAAAGTAATAATATGCTCTGAATGCCAAATTAGGTTTTTGGCACAGTGACACAGTCTCACTGCCTTCAGGAGTTTATCTGCATCAGTGCTTCGAACTAGATGATGGTGCTGAGAAAATTCAGCTCACTTTCTTTTGGTGCTGCAAGAGGTTTCGATTTTGGTCATCTGCTTATTTAAAAATGACTCATCTATGTTCACTGCAACCCAGTGTGTTATTGTGATTAAGTTATAAGCAACACCCTGGGGTGTTCAGCCATTGGGATCATTCAATCATCTGAACGCTCTGACATCACAACAGAGCCTCTATTAGACCACCCTAACTGTGGGGTCACTGTGCTGGGAGCAGAGAGAGATGGAGAACAGGTTGAGATTATTGAAATGCATAATAAAACAAAGTGATGTGCTTAGGAAACTTCAGTTTGTGAGATGCAAAATGACAGCCCTGGAGCCCAGAGTAATCCATTAAAGATAGTCACACTCTGCCCCAACAATACGCCTCAAGTCTATGGGAGAAAGAGGAACCTGTGGGTAGTCCAGTCTACATACGGACCTTTTCCAGCTGCCAGCAAAGATGCTTTTAACAGGTTCTGATTCCCGACAGTCAACTGAAGTTAATATGATTTAAGTGTTGTCCTGAATCAGAGCCATCATGGGGATACCTGCCTCCAGGAGACAGCGGGGCCTAGTGAATAGCATGCTGAACTAGGACTCAGGGGACGTGGGTTCTGCCACTGATCTGCTGAGTGACCTTCAACAAGCCACTCCACCCGTTCCTCAGTTTCCCCATGCGTAAAATGTAAAGCACGCTGAAGCCATACGCATTTTTGTTAGAACAAAAGAACTGAAGCCAGCACCTCATTTTACATGGACCACTTTACAACCAGATATCAAATTACCCTCAAGTTACTACTGATCTTGGCTGGATTTAAATTGATGATCCTGATGTGAAAGGCTGTAAGGTGTGAAAGGTATCTCATGAACTATCCAATCATTGTCATTTGCTATCCCTCTTTGGCAATCTCTCATTTTTAGTGTTGTGGCTATGAAGGCAACTACTTCAATTTACAGTTTTCTACAGCTTGCCCAACTTGTGCACAGTGATATTTCTAAAACAGATACCAGATTGTATGAAAACATGTAAGATTACATTTATTCGAAAACCTTCGAAAAAGCCAACTATATTACAAGCACCCTGCAAATTAAACTGTACTCTCCTGCTTTGGTATTATTATGCACTGAGACTGTTCCAGTTATAATCCACTTCTGTTCGGCTTTCCACTTTACTGGAAACTACTACTAAAGACAGTGACACTCAAGCTTGCCCATGAGCTCTGCAGGGGAAAATCAAAACAGGCTTACTCATAGCATGTTACATTTGTACAAAGTAAATTAGCTAAACCCAACACATTTGGTAAACTGTCAATAAAACACACCTTTCCCCAGCCAGATTGCAAATTTTAGAAGCCTGACCAAAAAAAAAAAAAATTTATTTTGATTTTGCTACTAGGGAATGAATATAATATAAAAACCATTTCACTTCTTGTACATTTTTACATATAAAAGAAGGCACCTTTGTACACTTTGTATATGTGAGCTTGTCTTACGTTTCAATATAAATAGTGGAAAATCAGAAGATAAGCATAATTTCATCTAGAGACTGCAGCTTCAACATGTGTAGAAAACCATCCCAAATCATTATTCAATAGTTAGACATAATAAAACAACGTGCCTCATATTTCAGTTCACAGTTCCGATGTACCTGATTTGTTTTAAAGCAAAATACATAAAAACATGATATTCCATCAGGGTGCAGGGGTACATTATTTTCTATCATAAGACATACATATATTGCGCTACTGCAGCACAGAAAAAAGTTAGCTCTGGCTTTAAAGAGAATTAATTTGAACTGAAGATTTGTTGATTATACTACTACACCTTGAAAATACTTTAAAGAAAGTATCACTTAACACCTGCAGTTCAGATTCAACAAATTTCAGTCAGAGCAAAGCATTTTTCTTCTACAAGCCAATGCTGAGATGACAACCCCAATTCTGCAATTGGATGGGAGATGCCAGCCACAACCATTTTAGCAGCCTTCTGAGTCTAGCCTTTCCATACAAGGATAGTAGGAGCAACCTAGCTGTGCACATTTTGTCCAGCTGTTGCAATAAGGTTCAGCTAGGCATTTGTTAGACTTGTATGTGAATAAGAGACTCAATAATTAGGATAAAGTTGTAGCAGGGAATGAAGAAAAGTTTGAGAAGATATTTAACGTCTCAGTAGCAGTCCCTTCATTCTTGCAACCTTTACAGTCCATGAGTAGATAGTGGGTAAAATTTTCAAGAGTGCCCACGTGACTTTGGAGCTTAAATCCCTCTTAAAAGTGGAACCTAGGAGCCTAAGTTACTACAGTGACACTGAAAATTTTCCCCAATGATAGTTGGTGTGAGAAACATAGCTCCTTTAATGCTTTATGATCTCGATTTCAGTTTTCAATATACAGTACTTTAAACGGCACAGCAAATCAGTTTAAGATAATACAGTAATTTAATTCTAGATTCACAAAAACCAAAATAGTATTTATATCTGCCTACTGCATTTACTTAACTTTATAATTAGCTGCACTAACTAGTAATCATTATGTTAAATAAAAGATCACAGTTGTCAAAATAAAATTCCCCTCACTGTAAAGTGAAATAACACACTCTGAAAAGGTTTACTCTCCATACCGTATTTCTGCTCTTAGCTCATGTGAAAGATAATTTATTAGCACTGCTGCCAACTTCTGTTGTAGGGCGGCATTTCCCATTACTAGTGCAGTCAACTGTGCAGCATCAGTCCAGTCTAAGTTCCTGATAATAGCGAAGGCATCTTCATAGAGCTTCTGTTGCTCAGCAGGAGGCAGTTCCAGTATAATCTGAGGGATTGGCTTAAACTGTCCAGCAGTCATCCAAGCACCAAATAAACCACCAACTGCACCCCCTAGAAAATCAATGAAGATGTAATTAGTCAGTCTCCACTTTTTAATTATTAAATTTCAAACTGTACCCAACAATAACCAGGCTTCAAACAACACTGGTGCTGCTGTCTCTATCGGAAGTTAACGAAGAGAGTTGGGTGGCCAAGGCACATTTACTTTAATGGTTATATATAAAACAAGTTAAAAGTGGCCAAAAAGAGTTTCCATGACTAAGTCAGCTCCCATCACAAAAATTCTTAACACAATCAGTACTAATAACTTAAAGCCCTAAATCAGTGAAAAAAAATCATCCTTTATGGCCCTGACTGGTCTCTTCAGGAGAAGAGAGAAGATCACAGATTCTGGATAAGACAGATTTTTTAAATAAAGCCCTCTGGTCAAGGAAACCATGAGATAAATCATACGTTGGTGGCCAAAGTTAATTTACTTCTCTCTCTCATTACAAATCCACAGCACGGTACACGTTTTCTGCCTCTGTTAAACAGGCCTTATTACTCTCGTTCCTTCATAAAGTCCCTGCATGGCTGGTGCTTATATGATGCCAAACAGGAAACAAACCCAGCAGTTTGGGGAGTACTGATTTAGAGACAATCACCCTATTGATTACTGAATCAGCACTTTCTCACTGGTCAGGCAGTACCATGGATTCCAAAACATGCTCTTCTCTTTTGTATAGAGCTGATCTGTCCCCTCCCAAGAATACTGGGGGTGGGAGATCCTATGCGGCTGTTAAGGTGATCATTGTGCCTACTCCAGGGGGAAGTTTCAATAGTACAGATCTATAATGGGTGCTCCCTTTCAAAAGGGAATCAATCCTAAACTATAAAGTAATTCTCTTTAACATAAAACAGCAAATGTAAAGTCTTGAATAATTTACACCACTGCCAGGAATGTCCTGGTTAGCTTAGCTGCCTCAGGTTTCCAAAATGGGTTCCAAAACCACACTCCTCAGCTTCCAGAAGCCTCACTCTCAGGATCTGCTCCTAGATCATCATTTATATACCCATTTCACTAGACAAAAATTTCTTAATTTGCAAATTTTACTGAGCTTGCAACTCTTCCGGTGATGCTAGTGAAATGCTTGAAAGCCTACATTCATCTGCATCACACGTTTATTAGATCATCAATACCTGATTTAGGGAGCACTACATGGAAAAAAAATAAATAAATAAAATAAAAATAAAAATCACAGAGGTGGCTCTTAGACTGGAAGATTTCTTACACAATCATTTGTTTTCTTCAGTTAACATTCACCAATTCACTCCCCTCAAAGGGATCCAAGCAACTGATCTAGGCACTGGAAAGCAAGATAAACTGCACATTTCTCAGGGGGCAAATACAGCAGGGGAACTCATCATATGACTTCCTCACAGCCAGGGATGACGACAACCCTCCTGTCCAGCTTACAGTAAAAGAATAATGCAGCCAAGGACCCATCTACACCATAATTAGTGCATATTCCTGCTAAAACTTAACTAAAAGTGCCTCCATAATCAAGCTAAAACTTTAGAATGTTCAGTCACAGGTCACTTACTTCTACAGTGTAATAATCTAGATAAAATCAGAGTCCTCTGATTCAGTTACAGCTGCATACAGGCAAGGACACACAAGCACTCAGTCTCCCTTCCAAACAATGCACTTGTTGCAATGTCCCGAGCAGCTATGACAGGAAGACAGTCACTTAAACTGGGGTATATAGGACAATGCACCTTTTAGTTTTAAGGTAGCTGTCCCTTTTTTTTTTTTTTTTTTTTTAAATTTATTTGTGGCTGTAACAGGTTAGTTTCATTTGATGATTTCTATAATTCCAGTTTTTTAAGTATTTGGACAGCTACATTCTTCTTAGTACTTCCTACTGGTCTCGATATTATAAATTTCTTACAACCATTTGGTTTTACCTATTTCTTACTGAAAAGTTTAGTAGCATCTTTGTAACAAGACTTTTTTCTGATAATTAATTAAGATGGGTGTTTGTAATGTTGGTAGCTTTACAGTTTCTCTTTGTATCTCCGGCTGTGCTGTTATATGTTTATTTTGTATTTCTACAATGCCCTTTTGTGGCATTAAAGCTAGTTTATGAATGAAGTCACTTGGGCCCCAATTATTCAAACACACGAGCAGATGTACAACTTTACTCATGTAAGTATTCCCATTGAGGTGTATGGGACTGCTCATGCGACTAAATGTACACACGTGGCTCAAGTGTTTGAAGGATTAGGGCACAAGTGACATCAGTAGTAATCTAGCTTTAACGCCACAAAAGGTTATTAATAAAGGAGATATCTGGAATTTTCTCTTCTGTATCTCTCATTGCTACTAAGCTCAGGGCTTTAGTATCATTTTTGTTATACAGAGAAACGCTAATTGACAGGGAACATGGGACTCTGAAAAAACTAAATATATCCAGCATGATAACAAGCACACTACAAAATTTTAAATAAATAAAACCTTACCGTCAGGAGGATATTTTTATTAAGGAAGGATTCTCACGCCCCTTGATATGGTTAGACTGGGAAGATTTCCTCCCCCTCACTTTATACCCAAATAAAATACATTTTCTTAAGGGGTAAAATTGGGAATCTCCAACCCATTTTTCTCTATTTATCAAAGGTCTGTAGGAAATGATCTAACAACAGTTCCTTCACGGGGCTCCACATCAGCCATGAATTTAAGCCGAAGCACTCGGCATAGAGTATCTTTTCACTGTCAGAAAGTATTATGAAAACCTGCTTTACCATCTAGTTAAACCACATCACACATCAATTCTTTAATTCCCTAGTTCAACACCTCATCTTATTATGAGCCAAACCATCTTTCCTTGTATGGTAGAGTGTATTTACCTACAGCTATTCCAGGTGGACCACCCATTAAGCCCCCAACAAATGCTGTTGCACCCGCTACTAGAGCTCCTCGTCCAGAATGCCTGACAGCAGCCTTCATCTTCCTCTCCTCAGAGATACGGCACAATAGGTGCATCACATCATGAACGTCGATCGGCATCTTGGCTAGTTAGGACCCTGAAAAAGATATATTTTAAGGTCAAGTTTATAAAAAAGGATCAGCTCTTGGAATAACATTTCTTCTTCCAAAAGAAAACAGAGACCAAAAGTTTTGCAAATAGCAATGAAACAGGAATGCAGCAATGAAAAGCAAAAGAAACAGGTGACAGGTGTTGCATACTTCCAAACGTATTTGGTTTTGTGCAGATTTTTTAATCTGGTCACAATCACAGTAACGAAACATTTTTAAATGTTCTGCTTATTTGTATAGGGTGTTGTCTTTAGCCTTAAACAACTGTCATGTCCATTCAGTGTTGCCAACAGCTACATGTGAGAAAAGAAACAGGCAATGATTCGGTCTTACATCAAGTTATGATCAGAAGATTATAATTTACAGGCATCCTTAATTCTGGCATTTCCTAACTTTGCAACATTAATAGCATATTTTTCAATGAAGGTTTGTGTGTGCGTAATATACATTTAACAAGTCAATTCCTTACTTTCTTGTAAAGACAGGCCCTGTAGATGTAGAAGTGGAAGTAAAGAGTGTCAGAGAGAAGTGAGATTTTTTTTCACCTTAACTTCAAATTTGAAAGCCATTTCATAATGAAGATCCCTTTCTGTAACATTTACGAGGGCAATGAAAAATGTTCATATTATGCTAGTACATAAGAGCCCCAGTCAGAGGATTTGACCTTATTGAGCTAGGTGCCGTAAAAACAGAACAACAACAAACAGTCACTGCCCCAAAGCATTTTACAATCTAGGTGTTGATTCACTGCCGCTGCCTCATCCAAGCCTACAAGTGAGGGAGTGTGTGAAAAGGAGCCCCCAGAGCTGCAGGAGGATACCGGAGGTGAAAGAGGTAGATGAGGGGAGGGGGGGTTAAGGGGTGTGATGTGGAAATGAAAGGGGGCTAGGAGGTAGGTGAGATATGAGGCTGAAATTAATTGATGTCAGGCCAGGAAGGTACAGAAATGACATGGGTTGGAGCACGTGCCTAATTTATCGACATGGGTGAGGGCCAAGGGCAGATGTAGGGCACACAGGGTGCATTGTAATTAACATTTGTAAGTTTTGGGAGGTAGCCGCTGAGCCACCAGCAGCACTTTATGCAATTTTAGGCAAATGTAAAATCTACTGTTTACCACAAGATGCTACTGGGTATGTATAAGGCAGGGGAAATACTTTAATATATATTTTTAAATATTACTGTTTCTCTATGTGTTCTTTGTCTGTGTCTAAATAAAGAAGTTTCCATGCACTACTGTATTACTGTATTCTATATATTGCTCAGATGCACTGTACTGACATACATTGCTTCTACATCTACATATATTCTTAATTGTCTTCTCAATGAGACTGTTGCATAGAGAAGTAGACTGAAGACTGAACTTTTCATCCTGGTGCAGTGAAACAGTAAAAATAGTTTCTAGATGAGGAGCAACAGCTGGCAGCAGGGTAGATAAAAATTAATGATTTTATTTAAAACAGATTTTGATAAAATGCTTTGAGGAAAAAAACCTATCTAAAGATAGTTTTAATTAAGATACATTATAACTCAAAGATCTCTCATCATGCAATAAAGATTATAAATTTTAATTCTATAGTATGAGAATATATTCATGTAATGTTTAAAAAAAGTTTTGTAAATGAGTTCCAATAGTTCATGGATTAAGGATCCAATCTTATGAGGTTCTAGGGGCTTCTGTACAGATTATTTAGGTTAATCTTTATCTACCCAATGGGACTCAGTGCTCAGTCTAGAAGATACCATCAGAGATGCTTAGGTTTGCAGTTCTCAAACTGTGGATTTGCAACTCCAGAGATAACATGCTCGTTAACAGCAAAAATGTTTTTAAAGAAATAATATATAGAGGTGAGCTATAACAGACCTCAACCCTATTGTCCATCTGCAAATTTGTGTACACAGAGTCAATCCCTTACCTCTCTCTAAAAGTGCAACGTTTCAAAAAGTTCAATGAATAGACTATTGTTGGGAACAGAATACATCTGGACAAGGAGAAGAAGTCTGGAGATAAATGTGAGAAGGGAGGGACAGGCACTAGAAACAAAAGTGGAACTGTTTGAGCAGCATATTCCAGAAGTCTTGAGGTCTTTCTGAGTGCAGCCTTTATTGATTTGAGATCTACCATACCATTCTCTCACTAGAAGGGAAAACCTATAATGGCAGCAGGCTGTAAAAAACACCCAGTTTGGGAATAAGAACCATTCAAGAAATATATGTTTGCTGATGATGTTTCAAAGAAAGTCACACCAGCAAACTGGTGGAAGTCACTTAAGCACTTGGACTCAGAGACTGTTGAAGTGGTAATCTCACTTTTAACAACTGTAGCTTCTTCTGCCGGTGTAGAAAGAATATTTTCTTCCTTTGGACTAATTTGTTCCAAATTGAGAAATCATTTGGGACCTGAAAGAGCAGAAACGCTTGTTTTTCTTTTCCAGATTATGAACAAACAGGAAAATGAAGGTGAAGACGACTGAGTTAGCTGCAGAAGCCAATGTTTTAAGTTTCTCATGTTGACCTGGCTGACACAGTCAATTTAATTTTTGTTACTTTTAAAAAAAAATTCATTTAACTATTTCAGTTAAAAACTATTTTAACAAAAACAAACCTGATTTTAAAAAACTTGAATGTTTAACTACATTCAAAAATTCATATGCTTGTTTTGTTAAAATATTATATATCCAGAATACCTAACGTTGTTGTTTTAGTTAAATAAAACCGTTTAAATGTCTGTCTGACGATGTTCTCCTCTTAATACAGCATGGCAAGAAAATCCTCCAAATATTAAGGATTAACCTGTTGAATTGAAGATAGTTTACCTCTGAGTGACTTCATAAATATCTGCTTCAATTACCTTTTGGTAAATGAAATAACCAATCATTCATTTTCTGATATAGCTGTAAAACTAATCTGAAAAGTTTTCAAATTAAATCACTTTAAAAGTGTATAGTGTGTACCTTCTAAAAATGAAACCTACATCTATCTGAGTTGTGAAGAATATATATTAAGGTTATAACAACCAACAAGAATGCACTTTTGTGTAGAAATCCATTATTAAACTGAGTCTTCCTGACTAGTGATTTAAATCATTATTTAAATCAATTTGATTGAAATCAAATCCACCCTGGCTGGCAGGGTGAATAATATGAATTACCAGGCTTCATCTTGTGAAAGTTGATTGCTGAATTCAAGGTAACCAAATTTCACCCTGAATGAAGGCCTGAGAATTAGGGATACAGTCTGGACTGATACTGAGAACCCTCAAGTATTGCCAGTTTCTGTGCTTTCCTCCTGCCCATCGACAAGAGAAGCACATGTACATACATCCTGCTGACCTCCCTGCAGCATCTCGTGTTATCAGTCATCAAATAGCCCTGTCAAACTCTCAACAAGCCTCAGGAGTGAATGGAAACTCCTTGAAATGGCCTTCCCCTTCCCAAATCCAGAGACTTATTGAGGACACCTGTTCCTCCAACTCCAAACCCCTCACCCTGAGGTGTCCCACAAGGCCCCTTGACAGGAAGTAACTGCAACAAACAGCTCTCTAAATCTCCTTTATGTCTAATTTAAACAGCATACAGCTCCCAATGTGCAGTTTGGGTGTCCTTTTGGCCTCCTCAAGGATTCCGTCCTGCGTGGCCATACTATGATACACTGAACCCCTATGTTCATTCCTTTTTCAAGGCGATCATAAATTCTGTACAAAGTATGCCTTGTGAGGTATCATTCGAAACCTCACAACTTGCTGATCGTTATTGTCCCGGTAAAATGTGTGTAGCAAAACTGTATGTAAAGTTATAAGATTCTACTGTATGATATTACCAGGAATCCTAGAAATCCATCTGCCACAGAAAAAACGCAGAAAAACACAGAATTTGAAGTTTTACAGAGAATCTTTAGGTTTTGCATTTTGTGAAAAAATAAAAACATTCAATAAAATTGTTAGTAGTTAATGTAAGTACCAGTGCCACTTGTTCAATGCATGCAACCTCACCCTCTTTTGCTTGATTTCTGAAAAAGAGCTTTAAATTTACAGATGAACTCCATTTATCCAATCTAACTGGGACCAGGGCCAGATCAGATAATAAAATTTTTGAATAATCAGGAGAATTGGCAAAGAGCATTCTATCCCTTATTTTAAGATGGGGGGAGGAACGTGTCTCGGGCGACCAGTCCCATGCAGCAGGGCTGACAGCCACGGCCCCAGCCCACCCAGGGCTAATTGTGGCTGGGGTTCCAGATGTCAGCTAATGGTTCAGTAAATATGGGGAGATGGATAAATGGGGTTCTACCATATATCAATAAAACACTGTGTTCAACTGATACATATATATAGCGGCTAGAGAAACTAAAGTTCAACATTTCATTTTAATCAAGGAAATTTTTTTTTTTTTTTTTTAAATCTGAATATTTTGGTTTTTTTAAGCTTGGAAAACTAGGATCCCTGGATATTACTAAGAGCAGCCACAAACCAGTTTCCTCAGCTAGGTGTCAATAAAATCAAATAGACCGTCATCTGATTAAATGGCCATTCTTTGGCAGGAGAAAGGGTGAGAAAGAAATTTACATCTTGGCACAGAAACAGCTGGAGATTCCCATCCCCACAGACTGTCTCCTGAACCCCAGCTGGAGATGATCCTCAAGGAAGATGAAGAGATAAAAAAATGGGGGACGCCCCAAATGGTCTCTCCCTTCATCTCTATTAACAACATCAAGAACACCTGAATACAGGAAATAGCCTTGGACTGGGAATAGAGATCCTGACTGAAAGGAGTTCAGCCTTCTGAGAGACGTGGTGTTTTGAATTCACATAAGTTAGGTATTAGTTGCATTTTACCTTTTATTTACTTGTACCTAATTATAACTTTTTTGTGCCTCATTACTTGTAGTCACTTGCAATCTCTCCTTCTGTAGTTGATAAATTTGTTTTATTGCTGTATCAACCAGTGTGCTTGGATTGAAGTGTTTGGGGAAACTTCAGCTAGGGTAA